GCTAGTCCTACCAAAGGTCGGCAAGCCTGTTCAGGACCAAAAGCTGCACTGTTCTTTGCCTTGTCCTCTCCAGGCCATGAAAGCAGCTGGGGCAATAAATGAAAGAACATGCAGGAGTAGGGGATGACTGTTTGGGAAATATGGAAGCCACGGGAAGCAGAGACAGATTGACGGGCAGAGTGCAGGTGATGCATGATGAATGCAATTAGTCACGTGGCTTTGGCATTTATCACATCAGATAGGTAATTCTTCTCTGTTAGAGAGACTGCCCAAGGATATATGTTAATCAGGATGACATTCAGAGTACTTCCATAAAGGTGGTCTCAGAAGGACTGATTTCTTTCTACTTAAGTCTCTCCAACCAATTCTGTGCCTCAGTAGATTAATGTATCAAAAACTAATGAGAATTTGAGAAACTCAGATGACGAATAGGTCTGGACCACAGTCTCTTGCATTACTGCCAAGAAAACACCATGCCAATTGCTCATTTCTAAGGATGGAAAAGTAACACTTTTTTTTAACTATCTAAAGAATAATGTTAAGAAACTGGAGGCTGAAATTAATAATCATGGTTATCGTTAGCTATTTGTAAATGATTTATGCCATGATGTAAAGTGTGAAGGGTATGGAAGACCTGTTTAACATGCTAAAAAAACAGCACAGTCCCTGCTCGGAGGAGCTCACCGGCTAAAGAAGTAAATGGCCCCAGTAAAATGCATGGCAATGCAAACAAGAGTGGTACCGTTAAGCACAGAAGGCTGTGATGGCGTTATAACTGGAATGCTTCCTGCAAAATATAGCAGCTATGGAGCTCAGATGACCAAATACATTACTGATGCCACTAGAATTTTTTTTTCCTTGACATCTGCTGGAATTTAAGAGCTGGGTCTGAACGTCTTCCACCATTCAGTTAAAAACGTCCATGGTCTCCAATGGAATTTTACCAGATAAGCCCTAAGTGCCGACTCTAAAATTGGACCCTCGTGTTTATTTTCTGTTGGATTGAAAGCCAAGTAAGTACACAACAGTATGCTAAATACGAGTTTATACTTATGGTCATAAATGAACATTGCCTCATGTATCTAAGGTGGAAGGGAGACTGCACAGTTGTTAGAGCGGCAGACTCCTGGCTTTCATTCCAGTCGGGCACCGTGAGACCTCGGGTGTCCTCACTGTGATTGGGGGCCGCATTTCAGAGGCTACAGAGCCTGCACGTTTCTTGAACACATGTCTACTAAAGTAAGGTAGGCAGAGGCAATTATGGGCAAAGGATTTAAACACTGCTGGAGAGAAAGATGGCAAAGGAATCCAATTTCTTTCATTTTTGAAACGGTCTGCTATTTGTTTTACAACCCTGTTGAAAAACAGCGGTTGTATTAATTAAATCTCTACTTGACAATAAAGCTCAAGGTCCAAGTGATGCCAAGTCATGAGTCATTTGCATTAAGGTCAACCTATTTTTAAACATAAACAGGCAAACCCAGATCCAAGCAGGTGCTTAGACTCTCTTGTTTTAACATTTTGCCCTTTGCATCAATTCACTCTTAAGCCTTCTTAAGTACTCCCTCTATGGGGTTCCCTGTGTCTGGCAAACGAACACTGAAGCCACACCAATTTCCTTAGTATACTTTTCTGGCACAAAGTACGCTGTTGGGTCCATGTACCTCCCACCAGTGCTTTTAAGCTATGCAAACCTGCTAGAATTAAGATGTAGGCAAAGACAGGGCATGAAGTTCAGTCTATCCCCACAAAATCAGAATATTTGGGCTCTATGGGTGTACCTACACTTGCGCTTTACTGCAGAGTTGACTACTTAGCTCCATAGTAAAACGTCACTGCCTATATGTGTACCCATATTAGGACACAGTAAATTAATTAACTCTGCCGTAGGATAGTATTGTCCAGAACAAGTATTATCCTAAGGTGGAATAATTTATGTCACTGCAACGCACGTGTAGATGGTGACTGGGGCATAAGGCTGCTACAGTGCGGGGGCTGCCTGCTGACTGTAGCACCCTCATGCTTCAGCCAGCCCCTCCACTGCTTAATCCCACCACCTGAAGCCTGGACCTGACCCCTCCAACCCTGTTGCCAGCCTGGCTTGAATTGCTGCAACCCCAGGCACACGTGTAAATGTTGCACCTGGGAGCAGCTGACTCTGGCATAAACTGCACTGGAGTTTATTGCATTGGGATAACTGCATGTGTAGATGCACCCTATATGAAGGAAGTGCCAAGAAGTGAAGGCTTCCCCTATGTTTCATTACTAAGCATTCCCCCAGGCTCCTGGGGTCTCTATGGACTGAAATAATATCTACAACCCCTTTGTCCAAAGGCTATTTAGAGTCTCTGGATATCCATAAATGTGAATTTATGCCCCATCCTTTCATCTGCTGTCACTGGACTTCTCTGTGTCCCCGCCACAGGGGCTTGCACAGACTATTTCTGCTGGTGTAAGGTTGGCATGGGCACCCCAGAGCAGCTACTCCATTCCTCTGCATAGATCCTATATCGGGCTTTAGTGATACAGACATCCCAGGCTGAATGTTACCTTGAGCAAGATTCATCACATTGCAGTGAAATTCTAGTTTGGTAGCTGGTCCTAGAATACAGGTAGCTTCCCAGAGTCTTGTCCTTCCTAGCATTGCCGCCTCCTATCTGAGAAGCTGAACTGGGGTTAGCCACAACGGGAAACGTTTATGAAATAATGCCTTGTGCCAAGAGAACCATGTTTCCCATTGTGGCTAACCCCAGTTCTGCTTCTCAGATAGGAGGTGGCAATAAGGACAAGGTAGATATGGCTCTTGTGTCCAATGCAGGACCAACTCCTTTTAGTTACACTGTGGCCACGTGGTCCTGCATTGGGCACAAGAGCCATATCTATAAATTATGGCCCTGATTCAGTAGTGTTTAAGCACATGCTTAACTTGGCACAAAGGAGTGCTTGAAGTCAACAAGAGACGAGGTAGGCTTAAAGTTAGAGATGCATGTTAATACATCACAGAATCAGGACATTTATGGGCATCCTTGTCTGTCCTTTTCTGCCAACCAATGAAAGCCCTGGCCGATATTTAATATATATAAACGAGGGATGAAGTGCAAATCTGATTACCTCCAACATCAGCCTTCTGATTATTCAGGCTCTCAGACTCTGCTGAAGCTTTTCCTAAACAACCTTTTTGTAGCATGTAATTCAGCTAACATGGGGAAAGCCTTCAACTTCTCGGAGCGTATTTATGGATCAAGCGCGCTGTTGCAAACAGATGCTACAGCGCATGAAAACAATGATTCTCACTAATTCCACCTCCCCTGGAAGAAAGCCTATCTTTAAAAGTCACTCATCACAGAATGGCCTTTGGTCTACAGAAAAATGCGAAGCATGCTTTAATTACCTCCCCAGTGGCCTCTCATTTGATGTCTTGTCCGCAGTATCTCTGTCGAGACGGCCTTATCTCTGAATGTTTTTCACTTACACTAAACAGCACTTATTCAGGTCTCCACTGAGTCACTGAAAACCACGCGTATATGTGGTTTGTGACCATTATGGTTCATTTGGAAAATGAAAATCAGCTTTGTTAAACAGCCTTTTTTTTCCCCCTGGTAACACTCAGTAATCATGGCATTAATTAATGCTACATTAAAAGGGGATTCCTCAGGGACCACATATTACATTGCTGGCATGTATATACCTAACCAATTCATCCAAACCAATGGTCTTACTAAAAGCTTTCAAACCTAGTATGCCTGGCTCCTTATTGCACTAGCGACCTATTTTAACTACAAATTTACTGTTGTTACATCTGTTATAGATTGTATCCCACTTTGTTACTGTTCCATAATACGCACCAAAGGGTTTTAAACAGATCTCATTTCCCCTCGACTGCGGCTATGACATATGCCTCCAAATCAACTAAATCAGGAACCTGCACTTGTCCCGTGCAATGGAAGCGTTCTCTTGTGACCTCTGAGTTTTCTGTTTGTACAGAGTGGATCTGACTGCATTGCACCATAATGCAATAGAGAAAGTGTGTCCTGTGCATCTTACCTCTTTGGTGTGGGTATGGAAGGAGACAGACATGTCCAGGAGAAGTTTCCTTTGTTCCACTCTCCGGACAAAGTCCTGAATCCGCACTTCCAGATGCCGGGCTGCTTTGTAGATCTCTTCAGGATCACATTCCCCAGTCTGAGCCAACTGCTCTGCAGCCTCTAAGAGCTTGTCTGCATTGGTGTACGTGTTCTACCAGAAAGAGAAAGCAAGGAACAAAATATCAGTAATAAACCCGTGGCAACCAACCTGCTGCGACAAGCTGTTTATACATTTGAAGGCATGAAAGCAATTGCTTACCAGAGTTATAAAGCAATGGTAATAATTCCTAGTGGTGCTGCCATCTGGGAGAGAAGCTAGTATAAACCCACGTGGACTAATCCTTGAATAGGCATGAAATAGTTTCTCATTTGAAACACAAACCACGCCAGTGCAAGCCTGCCTGGCAGATTAATAAGACCGTGCACTTGGGTTTTTTCCCCCCCTTAAATTTCTGGAATTTCTCAAAGATACTGTAATGAAGCAACTGGAGCTAACTGCTCGGAAGCAAAAGTTATCTTATATGACAACTGGCAGCAAACTAGTTTCAAAAGGCTTTTAGTGGCTATTGTATTGCAGCATGTCGTTGGGATAATCAGAAATGTCTCAACCACAAGATGTGTTTGCCTTCCAGTAGCTTTCTTGTGGGACAGCTCCAAGAGTGAAAGTTTGCTTTGAGTTGTTTCTGTGCTTTCCTCTTACCTGTTGCTCTGCACAAAAGGAAGAGTCAGTCCTACTATGGGCTGGTGAAAGGAACTCATCCAACCTTGTAAAATACTTGGATTGCAACTGAATATCACCATCCCCAGTCCATCTGAAGACAGCCCCCATTTACGGTATCACCTGAGCACCTCACAATCTTGTCTGTAATTATCCTCACAGTCACTTCCTTTAAGCTAGGTTGGTAACATTATCCCCATTTTAGAGCTGGGGAATTAAAGCACGGAGGAGTTAAGCAACTTGTCCAGAGTCACACAGGCAATCAGTGGTGGAGAGGGGAGTGGGAAAAAAATCCTTCTGTTTGTTATGAACATCTCAGAATTTAAAAAAACAAAGAAAGAGAAAAATCTAATTCATCATTTGTTCTATTTCGGCCAGTTGACTACAAACACACTTTTTGCATTCCTCCTTTCGCACAACAAAAATAGTTTAGTTCATGTTGTTATTCACAATAAATTCACAGGCCATATCATTTTCAGATTCTTATGCAGTTAACACATGGTTGTAATGCTTACACACAGGCAAACACTAGCATATGTACCATTTCCATATATTTCTTTATTTCCTGGAAATTGTTCTACCTGCCTGAGAATTTGTAAACGCTTAATTTAATAACATTTAAATCAGGGGCCAAATTTAACTTAGCAACATCCCCTCAACCTGAAAGGCAATCTGACAAATGATTATAGGCTGAATGGCGGCTCCATTTGCAGACATTATTGTCAGTCATTTACTTTCACTGTAGTGGAGTAAATGAGAGTGCATGTTTTTGTGTTTTCATTTCTTTATTCTTTATTCTAATTTCTAGTACATTCAAAGACATCCTCTTAGGTCACAGCACTTACTATACACATCAATGCAATGTTTGAGACAAAGTTTAATATTGCTGTATTGACCATCAATGTACTGATATTTAAGTTCCACTAACTAACAAGGGGTTTAGTATGAGTTATGGTTAACTATGTTCAGACTCAATTTAGTTCACTGAGATGACAATAAGGTACTCTATTGAACTCTACTGTAGGGAGAATTTAAATGTTTTAGGATTTAGATAATGGGGGGCAAACTGCAAGGACTGAATTCAGTTTTACTCCCAGGAACTAGGGGTGTGTGAAGCTCTGGTCGCCAGTTCGATTTGGAAAAAATTTGGCCCGATTCAGAGGCCAAATGACCAAATCTGAATCGAATCGGGAGACAAACCCCCCCCCCCGAATCGATTCAGAAATGATTCAGAAACAGATTTGGATATTTGGCGATTTGGAAAGCAGTCTTGCAGAGAAACAGAATCTAAGAGGGAGAGGGAGAGGGAGCAGGGAGGGAAGGACTGACATCTGTAGCTGGCCAGTGACTGTGATCTTTCCCTGAGTCCCCTTCCAATCACAGTGCTCTGGGGGAGGGATGCAGAAACAGCATATAAGCCTTTGTCTTAAGCCTTTCTGTCCCTTTTGTGAGCTGTTTCTGCCTGAGCACCGGGGAAGCCCCCTATTACAGGCTACCACTCCTGCTGTCTTCATCCAAATCTGCCAAAAAATGACAAAGTTATAGGTATTTCAGTGAGTCCCCATTATAGTCTATGGCCGAATCGCTGAATCTCTCTGAATCAGCGCTGAATCTTCTGAAGCTGATTTGGCCGAATCGATTCGGAACAGCGATCCAAATCTCCAAATCAAATCACTGGCCTCCGAATTGTCTGGATCCAAATCAAATGCTTCCCTATTCGCACAGGCCTACCAGGAACCCCATTTCACCCTGATTGGGAGGGATAGTGAAGTGATTGAGCCAACTTTCTGCATTCCTTCTGTAACACGAGTTACAGATGCATGGACGGTTCTGTACGGGATGAAGCGGCCCATGATGCTAGAGGCAGCTAATATCATATCTGCTAGCAAGCTGCCCGGATATGGATGGAAGTTTATGCTTATCTTCCTCCAGGGTGAACCAGTGAGCTCATTTTCCTCGTGTGTTGTGCCAGGGGACTTCAGGAGGACAGAAGATTTTGGTGTTCCCATGGAGGAAGTCTAGTTATGAACCACCTCCCATATTTTGGGGTGTTTACCTAAAAGACACCTAATGAGATGCTGACCTGGAGTCTGCAACAGTACTCTAGAGCGCATGATTTGTTTTGTCACATGCCCCCCCCAAGCCCCTCAGCTCCTTCTCTTCTGAGCCTTAAAGTTCCTTAGGGTAGAGCCCTTAAATAACTTGAAGCTCCTCCTACTGGTTTGGTGTTGAGAGTCAGATTAACTGTCTCATGGGAAAAAATAAAGCAAAATATATGATGTACCCACTCAGGGAGATTTCCTTGAATACTGTTACTGCCCCAGGTTAGAAGCAAAGTTCAGGCCCCAAGCCCTCCTGGTATTCAAGAACCAGTAAGGTCCTATAGTGTCTACTTAGAAGCACAGGACCTGGCTTCCTATACATCTTCCAAGATTTCAAACCTTCCCTTCAAGTTAGACTCAAGAGCAGAAAGGAAACCATGCAAGAGTTAATGTAGCCTGGAGATAAAATTACTGCAGTTGGAAAAGAGACAACAGACATCTCATTCTCCTTTCTGCTGGCCTAGTATAGGTCTTTGGCCCTATGAAAAGTTCTCTGTAGTGTCCTGAGAAGCAGTGGGAGGATGATGAAATGGAGACAACTAATCCCTTTCCTGCAGGGGAGATTCAAGCACAGATGGTCTCTTCCATATGTGAATATTGGGGAGATAGTACACTGTTAAACAGCAGTAATAGTTTTACTGATTATTAATCTTCTGTTTGATCCTTATTTGGCCCTCAAAGGTTATTCTTATTGGTGAAAGATAGTTTTTCTACCATTTCATTAACCCCAAAGAGAACAAATGGTAATGTGAAAACCCTTAAAATTCTATCCCACTGATCTGCTAACCAGTGATATATAGTGCTTAGGCACCATTTCAAGCACAAAACCAATTTTCATCTCAAATCTCTTAATAACCTTTCTGTACTAATCTTTGCATAATCACCTGCTGAAACCCATGAAATCTGCAATCACAGAAAATGAAAACACACTTCAGGCTTCAGGATGGAAATTTCTCTAATTTATGCTTCTGGAATTCATTTAACAGAGCAGGGGGGTGTTATTTGTGTATTTTTTTCCTACTTACAAGAAAAGGCAAATGTGATTATAAAAAAAGATCACAGTTAAGAAAAGTCTACCCCACAATTCACAATCAGACATGCTTGTTATCTGACCCTATTGCCATATCAGGTAACAGGATTCACCTAACTTTCATAAATTATTAAGGATTTGATATCCTATAGAAGGTGATTAAGAGGCTGCCTATGGAAAAAATGACTCAGTGTTTCAAACGGCCAATGTGGCGCCTATCTTCAAGAAAGGGAGGAAAGTGGATCTGGCAAACTATAGGCTCATCAGCCTGACCTCTTTCCTGGGGAAGGTCTTAGAAAAAGGCCATCCTTAATGGACTGGCCAATGCCAACATCCTGAGGGATAGCCAGCACGGGTTTGTTGCGGGTAGGTCTTGCTTGACCAATCTCATTTCCTTTTACGACCAGGTGACCTACCAATGGGACAAGGGAGAAGAGATTGATGTCATATATCTTGACTTCAAAAAAGCCTTCGATCCAGTAGGTCATGGTCACCTCTTGGCAAAACTGGCCAATTGTGGCCTTGGGTTTACCACGATCCACTGGCTGGTAAATTGGCTCCATGGTCGGACCCAGAGGGTGGTGATTGACAGACATCAATTGTCATGGTGCCCTGTGACCAGTGGGGTCCCCAAAGGCTCTGTCCTTGGACCCATATTGTTCAACATCTTCATTAATGATGTGGATATTGGAGTCAGAAGTGGACTGGCCGTCTTTGCCGATGACACCA